TCCATAACACGACCATTCTCCATAACACCAGCACCCTCCATGGTACCAAAATCAACTTGAGTGCCCCCGACTGTCAGGATTAAGGAAGAAAGCAGCTCTTTCCTGCCTTTTCCCATCTTCTCCAATAATCGGGTTGAGACTCTTTCAAATCTCGGTCCTTGATAATGCCTGCAAGGTCTATTTCATTTCAGAAATGACTGAAGTTCTGGACAGTTCTTCCAGCCAATCTTCCTTTCTGGATTCGTCTCCGCTTTTTCTCCCTCCCTCTTAGCATAATTGCTATGAACTGCTCTCTGCAGGTTAATTCTAGAATTCGAGGTCACAAGCCATGCCACCTCCACCGAGTGATTAGGATGAGAAAGCATGCAGGCTGCAGGGGCTTGGGTATCTCTGGTTCTGGATAACACAGCAGAGGTGGGGCCCAACAGCTAAGCACCAAGCTCTCTAGGTCTAACTGAGTTCCCTGACGTCCAGCCCTGAGCTCTGAGAACATCTCCCTCCAGACTGCCATGGCTGCTAGTTCATCCCGTGGTGGCCGGACCACCTAGCCCAGGGCCCCCCACACTGTATGCATCTTTCCCAACCCAGCCTGGAGGGACCCCATACTGTGTGCTTCTTTCCTATCCCCCTGACTTGGGCAGGTAGACAAGCCAAACCCCATGGAGTCCCCCAGGCTAGGAATAAGCATCTGCGTTCCGCCTCCATAACAGCCCTGTCTGGACCCTGAGCCCCTACAGCTGACTCAGTTCAGACCGTCAGACCACTTAATTCCTCCCACTGTACCCTCCTAGTCTCTCTGAACCATGCTCACTCCTGCAGAGGCCTCCCCACAGGTCCGGAGGGGCTCTTTAAGAAAGCTGGAAACCAGGCTAATTACCGCTCACAGCTTTATGCAGGCACCAGAGAACTGGCTTCATTTCCCCCATTTTGTTCCAAGTGGCAGGGCCCCCTCCAACCACGTATGACAGGACTCACAAAGGGCTGCGCCAACCACAAAGTCCTTCCTTCCTGACCCCCATGACAATTTAGTTAAACTGCACGAGGGCTTCAGATGTCCCTGGACCGTGACCCAGGGGCTCTTTCTCTTAGCTGACTCATTTCTGTTCTACCCAGTAGTTACCGACTACAGGTAGCATGACTGAACAGAGGCCTGGGGCAAGGAGGACAGCTGGACAGAGAAGCTTAGAGCAGGGAGGACGGCTGAGGGCCAAGGCCAGGACAGGGAGGACAGCTGAGGGGAAAGGACTAGTGTAGGGAGGATGGTTGAGGGGAAAGGCCTGGGGAGGGAGAAGAGCTCTGAGAAAGGTCTGGGGAAGAAGAACGGCTGAGGGGAAGGGCCTGGGGAGAAAGGACAGTTGAGGGGAAAGGTCTAGTACAGGGAGGATGGCTGAAGGGAAAAGCCAGGGGAGGGAGAACAGCTGAGGGAAAAGTCCTAGTGTAGGGAGGACCGCTGAGGGGAAAAGCCTGGGGAGGGAGGAGGGCTCATGCGAAAGGTCTGGGGTAGGGAGGGCAGCTAAGGGAAAAAGCCGGGGAGGGAGGACAGAGGGGAAAAGCCTAGTATAGGGCGGATGACTGAGGGGTGATGCCCAGTGTAGGGAGGATGGCTGAGGGGAAATGGCTGTGGAGGAAGGACGGTTAAGGGGGAAACCTGGGGAGGGAGGACAGCTCACAGGAAAGGGCTGGGGAGGAAGTGGGCTGTGGAGAAAGGTCTGGTGAGGGAAAAGGCCTAAGGCAGGGGTGATGGAAGAGGGGAAAGGTCTAGCGTAGGGAGGAGGGCTGAGGGGAGAATCCTGGGGAGGGAGGACGGCTAGGTCAAAAAGCCTGGCAAGCAAGGACGGATGAGTGGAAATGCCTGGGGAGAGAGGACTGCCGAGGGGAAAGACCTGTGAAGGGAGGATGATCGAGGGGAAAGGCCTGGGGAGGGAGGACAGCTGAGGGGAAAAGCCTACAGAGGGAGGGTGGCTGAGTGGAAAAGCCTGGGGAGGGAGGTCGGCTGAGGGGAAAGGCCTGGGGAGGGAATACAGTGGAGGGAAAGGCCTAGTGTAGGGAGGACTGCTGAGGTGATAGGCCTGGGGAGGTGGACGGTTGAGAGAAAGGCCTGGGGAGGCAGGACGGTGAGGGGAAAGGCCTGGGGAGGGATGATGACTGAGAGTAAAAGCCTGGAGAGGGAGGAGGGCTGAGGGGAAAAGCCTGGGGAGAGAGAACTGCTGAGGGGAAAGGCCTGTGGAGGGAGGACGGCTGAGGGGAAAAGCCTACAGAGGGAGGATGACTGAGTGGAAAAGCCTGGGGAGGGAGGACGGCTGAGGGGAAAAGCCTACAGAGGGAGGACGACTGAGTGGAAAAGCCTGGGGAGGGAGGACGGCTGAGGGGAAAGGCCTGGGAAGGGAGGACAACTGAGAGGAAAAGCCTGGGAAGGGAGGACAACTGAGAGGAAAAACCTACAGAGGGAGGACGGCTGAGGGGAAAAACCTACAGAGGGGGAATGGCTGAGTGGAAAAGCCTGGGGAGATGGACGGTTGAGAGAAAGGCCTGGGGAGGGTGGACAGCTGAGGGGAAAGGCCTGGGCTGGGATGACAGCTGAGGGGAAAGACCTGGGCAGAGAGAACACCTGGGGAGAAAGACCTTGTATAGGGAGAATGGCTGAGGGGAAAGGCCTGCCAGGCCGGACTCTGCACACTGGCTGTGCTCTTCTTTGGCTTGGTGAACGCCTCAATCATCCTTCTGAGCTGAAGTCCTTTTTTCTGAGAGAGAATTCTAACTGGCTCTCACATTTAAATATGATAAAAACAGCCACAACTCCAAAAGGCATCAAAGAAGAGGAAAGAAAAAAACCCAACATGGCCCAATACCACCAGTGATAACGCAGCCACAGCCAGCGTTTCAACCCCTTTCTTTCTATGCCTTTTTCCTCTGTGGTTTTTATCATCACTCAAATCCTAGAAAGCATTCGGTTTTAATCTCTGCTTTTTTCACTCACCATTCTCTCTTAAGTATTTGTCCAAAGTTTGCCTGTCTTCCCAGCTATCATTTTAAATGATTGCTGGATAAAGAATAATTTTATTAACAACTCTTACCATACTATTTGGTAAAAAGGGCAAATACTTTAAAATAATTTTTATTTTTGTCATTTTTTTAACAATTCTTGCTCATTGTATAAAATCTGGAAAACATAAAAAAGTAAGAAAGGAGATGAAAATATCTCATAAGCCCATAATTCAGAAGAAACTGCTCTCTGAAAAAATATGCTTCTTAAGGAACTATAAAATAGTACATCCTGAGAAGGTGGTCTCATTCATATAATCACAAGAAAGTTGCTAAAAGTCTAGCCTTGTTTCCAATACTTGGATTTTATAAATAGGTCTGCAATAAACATTTTTTTACGTGAACCTGGGCATGTTTCTCATGATCTCTGTAGCCAGGAGGACAGGTCTACTCCTTGGCCTGGTCACCAAGAGCTCCTCTCAAAGCTCTGTGCTCATTCCTGCAGGTACACACTTGTTCCTACTGGTATGTGCATGCAGTCAGGCCAGGTCCCATTCACTGGGCCCATACTGTGTGTAGACACTGAAAGGACAGTAAAAAGAGCAACCCCAGGCCCCCCGAGGGGCTTGGCATCGAGGGAAGTTCCACATTCCAGGAGACTCACACGGAGGCACCACACGCCTCGTCGGGGTCACATACCCAACTTCTTCGATGTAGACTTAGCAGGAAGACAGATAGGGACAGAAACAGACTAACATGTGCACCCCTGCAAACACTCCAATTTCCAGATAACCAACCAAGAGTCGTGTTCACTTTCAAAGCCCCCAGTCACCGCTGACCCCAAATAGCTCCTAGTGACCGTGCACTTGTCTAGTCCTGAGCCAAGTGCTTGGTGTGTGCTGCTCCATTTAATGAATGAGGCTGATGACTTCCGTGTGGCTGTACAGCTAGTACAAGGCAGAAACAAGGCTTGAGCCAGTCAGACTGCTGCAATATCCATTCACAGAACCACTTGTCCTACTGCCCCCTTCCCTTATTTTTCCCCCTCCTTTAAATATTTTTTAGGTCTGCCTGCATTTCTCCATCATCTCACCATCCTTGTCTGATCCACAACCATTTTTTTTTTACTTAGACAGGTGCAGTAGCCTAACAGTCTCCCCACCTTCCCTTTTGTCCACAACACTCCATTTGCCATGTAAAAGCCAGCATGCTTTTTCTGGGACCCAAATTTAGTCACGTCCCTGCTCTTCTTGAAGTACTATAGCCGATTTCTGTTGCTCTTGGTATTAAACTCTAAATTCCTCTACCCAGTCTACAAAGCCTAGAGCTGCCTGCCCTCTACCTGCTTCTCCTGCCTCAGCTCTGTCTGCCCCCTGGCCCCCTCGTACAGTCTGGCCTCACTGATTATTTCTACTCAGTGTTGGGGTTAGCCTCCCTCCAGCCTCAGGGCCTTTGCACACGCTGTGCCTGCTTAATGCCCACTCCCCTTTTATCCAGCTCCCATATGACTTCCCCAGGGCACTTCCAGAGAGTGACAGATATTTATCAGGGCTCCTCATGGCCCCTCCACCGACAAACAGAAAGTCAGTTGGCCATTAATGAGGTTTCTACCACCCAGAAGCATCTTTTCTTTCCCTCTGCCTTTTTAATATTCTTGCCACCATATCCAAGGACTAAAATTTGAGTCTCTTCCTGCATTTCTATTCCACTTCCTGGAGACTGTGATGGCAAGGCAGGAAGAAGGAAGCAGGAGAAAAGAGAAGGACTAAGAGAGGCATTAATCAATGATCAGATTTACCAGATCCTTCTGGAGCACCCGAGAGCATGCTTGGGACTCAGAGGCAGAGCTCTTTTTATTGGATCAAACTCTGTGACCCAGACCAGACCATGTGGCTCCAAGGAATCCTCCAGAAATGGCCTACGTCATCCCCCACCCAGCGGTACCTGCCCCATGAGCATCAGGCATGCTGGACAGGCTGGAGCCTTTACCCTTTCTGTTACACCATCAAGAAACTGACCGTAAATTCAGCAATTTTCGGCACCCGGAACTTCCCTTTGTTCTTCTGTTCCGGTTGATATTCCGTCCTTGTCTTCACGATCACCTGAAAGGATCAGTCAATGTTAGCATGTGGGGAGACTAGGAACAGCTCTCTTCCTCTTCTCTTTTCTTTTCCTTTTTTTTTTAATAATCAGAAGTTATACTACTTGGCATAAAGATCAGAAAATAGGCTGGGCATGGTGGCTCACACCTGTAACTCGGCACTATGGAAGGCCGAGGCAGGAGAATTACTTGAGTTCAGGAGTTCAAGACTAGCCTGGGCAACATAGCAAGACCCCATCTCTAAAATAACAATAATAATAACAATAACAATATTAGGTCAGAAAATAAAGAATCCCCCTCCCAAAGACACACAGAAAAGGAAAAATTCAAATTACCCATTATGCTTCTCCATTTTAACAGAGACAGCCACAGGTGACAATTTTGGTTGCAACTTTCTAGATTTTTTTTTTTAGATTTAAAAAATGCAGTTTATTTAAAAGTAAATTAGAGAAAGAGGAGAGAGAAGATTCACCTTAAAGTGGGGGAGGGGGCCAAAGCCAGGAAGCAAGGCGACAGCCATAGCACACGGCCATACCAGAGTCTAGCAAGGCAATGGCCCCAGATGTTTTAATAGACTTACCTACGTGTATATTATGTACATTTCCTATTTATGAAACATGTTTTCTTTTTATAAAATGAATTCATACTTTATGAACTAGTTTATAACCTGCTTTATTGTACCATTTTACTTTCTTTTCAATTTTTTAGTGTAGACAAATAAACGATTTCACATTGCCTTTTGTTGTCTTATAGTACAATTGGCTCAATCAGTCTTTCATTGTTGAAGATGTAGGTTGTTTCCGAAGTTTGGGTTACATAAACATGGTTTGATAAGGAGTCTGTATCAAAACCTTTTCACACACATTTAATTCCAATGTGATTTGGGAACTTGTACAAAGAAAAATATAAAGGTCTGCTGAGTCTATTGTATCATCTGATTTTTCTAAAGTCTGAAAATTTTTGCAGAGGTGGTTAATATCTTACCAGGATGTGCTGCCAACCTGACAAGGCATTTATGTAACTCCATTCTACTGTGCGGGCAAAGCAAACAATAAAGAATCCTAACAGACCATCAATAACTATTGCCAAGTGCTACAATACCAAGAGGAACACAGAGGCTGAGTATGGTGGTTCATGCCTGTAATCCCAGCACTTTGGGAGGTGGAGGCAGGTGGATCACTGGAGCCCAGGAGTTTGAGATCAGTCTAGGCAACATAGCGAGACAGCATCTCTACCAAAATATATGTATATATATATATATATATATATATATAGTGCATATATATATATAGTGCATATGTATATATTATATATATATAGTGTATATATATATTATATATATAATATATATATAGTGCATATATATATATTATATATATATATACAAATTTTTTAAATGCCCGGGCATGGTGGCATGTGCCTGTAGTCCTAGCTACTTGGGAGGCTGAGGCAAGAGAATTGCTTAAACCCAGGAGTTCAAGATTACAGTGAGCTGTGATCAAGCCACTGCACTCCAGCCTGGGTGACAGTGAGACCTTGATTCAAAAAAAAAAAAAACTGATAAGAAGAACACAGAGCTGTTTGAGCCTCAGGGTTTCACCTGTAAAATACAATCAGTAACCATATCCCTATTTAATAAGGTTGCTTTGAGAGTTAAATGAGGTGATGAGCAATATTCTTGAACCATGTATCAGGTGCCAGAATTAGATCAAGAACTTCCTACACCTTACCTACATGCCACTACTATTTCCATTCTCCTGACAAGGAAACTGAAGCTCAGAGATGCAAAGTCACCTGTCCAAGGTCACACAGCTAAAAGGAAGCAATCCTCCAACCATGATCACTCTCACTTCCCATTACAGCTTAGATTAGCAGAATTTTCACTGGAAACCAATTTTCCTTGGAGACAACCATCAGCTGTATTGACTACAGCAAGAATTCTTTGAAGAATGTTCTTTAAAGCCCATTGACTCAACACAATCCAGAAAGGAAGGGCTGAGGAAAGAACCACCTTATCGCGAACATCCCCAGGGCACTTAAGGATGTAGGTTCAGCAGAGGCCCTGGGCAGCCCACCCACACGCCTCCCTGCCTGACTGCTAGACCTCATTCCCAGATGGAAACTGTGCCGCTGTGGCCTACTGTCTTTATAGTCTGCTCCTGCGAGCAACAGAGACCCCTGGGTCTTTAAATAGAGAAATGGTTCTGGCAGCTGGGAGAAGGGACTGAAGAATGTTCTGTTATTTTTATTTCCTTCCTACCTCCTATGCCAAAGAATAGAAAAACAGATGCCTCTGGACCACAGGTGAGAAATACAATTCTCTCACTTTGCACATGTCCTATCTAGCAGGCATCAAGCATTTGACATGCATTACATCAGTTAATTCTACACCGTGAGGCAGGTACTGATAATGTCGATATTGTAGGGGGCGTGTCCAAGTGTGTGCTGAGTTCAAATTCTGGCTCCACCCCCTACTATCTGGTGACTTTGGGTGAGACATTTAAGCCTTCTGAGTCTTGGTCTTCTCATCTATAAAATGAGGAAATAACCATTACCATCTCATTGCGTTGCTGTGAGGCGAGTATGAGTTAATGCAAGTCAGACACTCAGACCCCTTATCCACTAATCTCCGTTTATTTGAATTCTCCCTTGGGATACTGTCACATTTGTTTCTGTAGACATCTGAGGTGGATGTGGAGTAGAGCCACAGGTTTGTACCTGTCCACCTGCAGGTCCACTTTACCCAGCCCATCAAGAGCAGAACATAGACTTCTCAAAAACAATGAAGTTCAAGCATGCCCCTGACTGCCCTGTCTGAGAAAAGGGAATTTTAAAGGATGAATAGAAATTTTCTGGGTGGACAAGACAAGGGAAGATAGTTTCTGCAAAGTGACTCACATAGTCAAAGAAACCAGTGTTGAAATAGCCCGGGACCTGCTTTGCTGACATGAGTGCAGCGAAATGTAAGAGTCAGGAACTAACAGAAGCAAAAGAGAACATGCTAGTTCACAGTTCTAAGCTAACTCCCAATGTTCCAGAATGGACCAAAGCATATAACATATGTGCATATGCTTTGTGAATTTGATTTTCTACAAATTCTAGTTATTAGCAATATTTTAGCCAGGTGCAGTGACTCACACATATCATCCCAGCACTTTGGGAGATTGGGGCAACAGGATCACTTGAGCCCAAAAGTTCGAGACCAGCCTGAGCAACATAGCAAACCCCAGTCAATTAAAAAAAGATTTTTTTAATTAACCAAGTATGGTGGTGCCTGCCTGTAATCACAGCTACTCGGGAGGCTGAGGCAGGAGGATGATGTAAGCCCAGGAAGTCAAGGTTACAGTGAGCTGTGATTGCACCACTGCACTCTAGCCTGGGTGATGGAGCGAGACCTTGTCTCTAAAAAAAGAAAAGAAAAAAGAAGAAAGAAATATTTTGGATAGCAATAGATCAACTGTCAAATTATGCAGTGGTATAGAAAATTTAGATGTCTGATCATTTCTCTGAATCTGTATTTTTAGAAGTATTTACAAACTTTGATTTATAATTTCACCTCCCCACACATATAATACATCTATTTATGTAGATAGTAATATATCTGTTTTCTGATCAGCATGAGCCATAGGCCTTGGGGTAGCAATTGTCTTTTGTGGTGGACAGCAAAGACAGCCCAGAAGAACCTGCCCCTTGGTGTCCATGTGCTGTATAATTCCCTCTCAAAAGTGTGGGCAGGACCTGTGAAGATGGCAGGGCAGTCCCTCCTAAGATTTCACAGTGCTGTATTAAACTCCATGGTAAGATATCTCAAGGAACTAAAAGTAGAGTGACTATTCAATCCAGCAATCTCACTCGTGGGAATATACCCAAAGGAGCACAAATTGCTCTACAAAAAAGACTCCTGCATATGTATGTTTATTACAGCACTATTCTCAATGCAAAATGTGGCACCAACCCAGATGCCCATTGAAGGCAAGCTGGATAAAGAAAATGTGGTACATACGCATGATGAAATACTATGCAACCATAAAAAAGAACAAAATCATGTCCTTTGCAACAACACAGATGCAACTGGAGACCATCATTCTAAGTGAACTAACAGAAACAAAAACTGAACATGGCATGTTGTCACTCATAAGTGCGCACTAAACATTGGGCACACAGGCACAAGAGCAGGAACAAAGACACCAGGAACTGATGGGGGGATAAGGGATGCAAAACTACTCACTGGGTACCATCCCCACTAATGGGGAGGGTGGCTCATCAGAAGCCCAAATATCAGCTTCATGTAATCTACTTATGTAGCAAATTCTCACACATACCCTATAATTCTAAAATAAGTCAATAAATAAAGGTAGAATATTCTGACCCTACCACAAAAATAAACAAATTTAGAAATAAAACAAAATAAAACTCCATAGTAGCAGACTGGGAAGAGATTCTCCACTGACCTTGAAGAATTAAGCCGACGTGTTGAGAGAGGTCCATGCAGCTAATCCTCCAGAACAGGCATATCCAATCCCCGACCCACAAACCACATGCAGCCCAGGACAGCTAATCATGTAGCCCCACAAAATCTTTTAACGTCATGTGTTTTTTAGCATTTATTTTCTTCATGACCCCACGCAAATTTCCATTTTTGAAGTCCACAACCATGCCTTACTCATGACATCACTTTTTGGCAGCACATACATTTATGAGCAGCCGTTTTCAATTATGAAGCACATGAAAAGCAAAATTCCAACAAACATTTCTGATGAGCACCTTTAAGAACTCACTAAGAATTGTGACCACTTCCATTGAACCAGACATTGATAGATCTATTTTACAAAAACAAGGTCAAATTTCCCACTAGTATTATATTGCTCTCATTTTTAAAAAACATTTTAATATTTAGAAAATTTAAAAATAAAATAATTCTTATGTATATACACTAACTACATTATATAATTGATATGCAGTCCAAGACAATTACTCTTGACTCTATACAGCTCTGGGAAG